CTCCCAAGCGTAGCCGGCTGTTTTCCCTCCCCACAGACTGGAGACAAGGAGGAAGACTCACTTTCATTTCATTCCCATGGGACAGTCCTTGAGTTTCAAGGGAGCCTGGGAGCAGCAGTGAAGGGCAGGGAGGCGTGACTGCATCTCTAGAAAATGCTGGGGTGAAGTCTCACTTCTTACCAAACAGAAGGACAGCTGGGGATGTTCTCATCTCAAATAGAGACTATTTGGCAAACAGCAAATATATTTCGAAGGGCTCTGGGCGCCTCAGAGATGTGACTGCATAGTGTGGAAGTTGTCAGAATCAAAATGGATTCACTTGTGCTTAAAACAAACAAAAAACCCTGACAAATAGAACTGGGGAAGGCCATGAAGGATTCTCATGCATAAATGCTTGATAACAAAAATGATCACAAGGCCAGGTGTGGTGGCTCATGCCTGTAATCCCAGCACTTTGGGAGGCCGAGGCAGGTGGATCTCTTGAGGTCAGGAGTTCGAGGCCAGCCTGGGCAACATGGCAAAATCCCATGTCTACTAAAAATACAAAAAATTAGCCAGGCATGGTGGCGGGTGCCTGTAGTCCCAGCTACTAAGGAGGCTGACACAGGAGAATTTCTTGAATCTGGGAAGTGGAGGTTGCAGTGAGCTGTGATTGCATCACTGCACTCCAGCCTGGGAGACAGAGCAAGACTCTGTCTCTAAATAAATAAATAAATAAATAATGATCACAAAAGACTGCAAAAATCTCAACCTTGCACAAAGCCCTTCACAGCCTTACACAAAAAACACTTTTATGAGGACATCTTCCCAGCAACTGCCTGTCTAACCTTGGAATAGCATCACCCTTGCTATTGATCCTTATAGCCAAGGATAATTATCTTAATGATCTTATCCTCATTTTTCCTTTAAGAACCTTTGTTTTCCTTCACCTGCCTAAATATGCACATAGTTTACTCTGGCACACATATTCCCCTCGTAATACCCTATTCCCAAATCAGTATCATTTCCTTTCAGAGAGCCTCTCTCTGTTTGTTGTGGCGCTTCAAAGACATAGTGACCATAGTAACTATGCAGGCTGCTTTAAATGTTATGTACCGAGAAGTCCTTTTTTTTTTTTTTTTGGAGACAGATTCTTGCTCTGTTGTCCAGGTTGGAGTGCAGTGGTGCCATCTTGGCTCACTGCAACTTCCACCTTGTGGGTTCAACCGATTCTCCTGCCTCAGCCTCATGAGTAGCTGGGATTACAGGCACCTGCCACTGTGCTGGGCTGATTTTTGTATTTTTAGTAGAAACGGGGTTTCACCGTGTTGGCCAGACTGGTCTTGAACTCCTGACCTCAGGTGATCTGCTCACCTGAGCCTCCCCAAATGCTGTGATTACAGGTGTGAACCACCATGCCTGGCCAGAAGTCCATTTTATGTGATTTAAACACTATGGACAGAGACATGATTTTATTTTTATATTATTATTATTTTTTGAGACAGAGTCTCGCTCTGTCACCCAGGTAGAGGGCAGTGGTGCAATCTCAGCTCACTGCAACCTCTGCCTCCCAGGTTCAAGCGATTCTCCTGCCTCAGCCTCCTGAGTAGCTGGGATTACAGGCATGTACCACCACACTTGGCTAATTTTTGTATTTTTAATAGAGACGGGGTTTCACCATGTTGGTCAGGCTGGTCTCGAACTCGTGACCTCGTGATCCCTCCTCCCTCAGCCTCCCAAAGGGCTGGGATTACAAGCGTGAGCCACCGCACTGGCCTATTTTATTTTATTATTATTTTTGAGACAGAGTCTCGCTCTGTCGCCAGGCGTGCAGTGGCACGATCTCTGCTCACTGCAACCTCTGCCTTCCAGGTTCAAGCAATTCTCCTGCCTCAGTCTCCCAAGTAGCTGGGACTAGAGGCGCATGCCGCCATGCCCGGCTATTTTTTTTTTTTTTTTTTTTTTTTTTTGTATTTTAGTAGAGACAGGGTTTCACCATGTTGCCCAGGCTGGTCTCGAACTCCTGAGCTCAGGCAATCCACCCTCCTCGGCCTCCCAAAGTGCTAGGATTACAGGCATGAGCCACCGTGCCTGGCCAGAGATGTGATTTTAAAAGATATAAATGTCACAGAGGCAGATGACCTAAGCCTTGGCCTTGACTAGTGTATTAATCCCATCAATTAGTTATTTATTTTACTAAGGATAATGAGGCATTTCATTTCAGAAAATACTATTTAAGGCTGGGCACAGTGGCTCACATCTATAATTCCAGCACTTTGGGAGGCTGAGGTGGGCGGATCACCTGAGGTGAGAGGTTTGAGACCAGCCTGACCAACATGGTGAAACCCCATCTCTACTAAAAATACAAAAATTAGCCGGGCATGGTGGCGAGCATCTGTAATCCCAGCTACTCTGGAGGCTGAGGCACAAAAATCGCTTGAACCCAGAAGGCGGAGGTTGCAGTGAACTGAGATCGTGCCACTGCGCTCCAGCCTGGGCAACAGGGTGAGACTCTGTCTCTGAATAAATAAATAAATAAATGGGGTGGCACAGACGCACTTACTCTAACAGAGTTGATCTGCCCTCTGTCCTGCTGGGCTCAAACTCTTTCCTGTTCTCTTTCTGCTATGGAAGTATCCTCCACTCCTCACTGGGCGCCATCCTGCTGCCCAACAGAAGAAGCTCTTGTCTCCGATTTCCTGAATGGTCTAAGGTAAGTCTTTACAATTCCTGTCTACGACCTCTTCCTCCAAACTTGTCTACTTAAGGTGCACCTAATGCATACAACAGATGCTTCACAGGGAGACTTGCATGCATGGGGTGGGAGTGGGCCCTGTTTGTCTAACTCTTGCCACCGCAGACAGCATGGCACACAATACTTAGAGAGTTAGCCACTTTCTCCGGATGCGGTGGCTCACGCCTGTAATCTCAACCTTTGGGAGGCCAGTGCAGGTAGATCACAAGGCCAGGAGTTCGAGAACAGCCTGGCCAATATGGTGAAACCTCATCTCTACTGAAAATACAAAAATTAGCCGGGTATAGTGGCGCACGCCTGTAATGCCAGCTATTCAGGAGTCTGAGGCAGGAGAATTGCTTGAACCTGGGAGGTGGAGGTTGTAGTGAGCCAAGATCGTGCCACTGCACTCCAGCCTGGGCGACAGAGTGAGACTGTCTCAAAAAAAGAAAAAAAAAAAAGCCACTTTCTTACCAGCAGTACAGGGCCCCGACAGAGGAAGAGAAGGTGGCTCCATCGACTAGTGCTAGAAGCTGCATAAAGCTCCAGTCAGTGTCACCTCTTCCCATTGTCAAGACAGGGCTGCCGGCAGAGCTTCTTCCTAAAGCAGCATGGTGGCAGCTGTGGCCCTCTGCGTGGGAGATGGGATGAATCCACACATCCATTTCCCACATGGGAAGAGTTACATGAATGGATTTTTATGTTTTATTTATTTTTATTCTTATTATTTTTGAGACAGTCTCGCTGTTGTCGCCAGGCTGGAGTACAGTGGTGCGACCTCAGCTCACTGCAACCTCCGCCTCCTGGGTTCAACCAATTCTCCTGCCTCAGCATCCCAAGAAGCTGGGTCTACAGGTGCGCACCACCACACCCGGCTAATTTTTGTATTTTTAGTAGAGACGGGGTTTCACCATGTTGGTCAGGATGGTCTCGATCTCTTGACCTCGTTATCCACCTGCCTTGGCCTCCCGAAGTGCTGGGAATACAGGTATGAGCCACCATGCCCGGCCTATTTTTTATTTTTTTGAGATGGAGTCTCACTCTGTCGCCCAGGCTGGAGTGCAGTGGCACAATCTCGGCTCACTGCAACCTGCCAGGCTCAAGCAATTCCCCTGCCTCAGCCTCCCATGTAGCTGGGATTACAGGGGCCTGCCACCACACTCAGCTAATTTTTGTGCTTTTAGTAGAGATGGGGTTTCACCATGTTGGCCAAGCTGGTCTCGAACACCTGACCTCAGGTGATCCGCCTGCCTCAGCCTCCCAAAGTGCTGGGATTACAGGTGTGAGCCACTGCGCCCAGCCTATAAATGGATTTTAAATACATATCCTTTGAACAACAGAGCCCAACAATACTGACAGATGACTTGCGTGCTCAATGGCTACTACTACTGATTAATCAGTTAATTATCTTTATTGCCCACAAACGCCTGCCTTGGTCAACACAGTGTGACTTGTCACATATAAATGAAGTGCTAATGTGCCTTCTGCAAATCCCCCTTATAACTTTTATATTTTTGAGACAGGGTCTCTCTTGCTCTGTTGCCAAGGCTGGAATGTAGTGGTGCAATCATTGTTCACTGCAACCTTGAACTCCTAGGCTCAAATGATCCTCTGGTCTCAGCCTCCTGAGTAGCTAGGACTACAGGTGTGCACCACCATGACTAGCTAATTTTTTATTTTTTGTGAAAACAAGGTCTCACTATGTTGCCCAGGCTGTTCTCAAACTCCTGGCCTCAAGCGACCCTCCCATCTTGACCTCCCAAAGTGCTGGGATTACAGGCGTGAGCCACCATGCTCATCCTTTTTTTTTTTTTTTTTTTAAGATAGGGTCTCACTCTGTCTCCCACGCTGGAGTGCAGTGGCATCATTTTGGCTCATGGTAACCTCTGCCTCCCAGGCTAAGGCATCCTCGCACTTTAGCCTCCCAAGTAGCTGGGACTACAGGTACATGTCATCACAGCTGGCTAAGTTTTATATTTTTCATAGAGACCGGGGTTTCGCCATGTTGCCCAGGCTGGTCTAGAACTCCTGGCCTCCAGTGATCCACCCACCTCAGCCTCCCAAAGTGTTGGGATTACAGGCATGAGCCACTGCACTTGGCCCCAGCCTCCTTTATAACCTTTGGAGGATCAAGTAACATCCACAGGAAGTGTTTGCTGAGTTCCCGTGAGGCCTCTGTAGCTCTAGCAGGTGTTATTTAAGAAAAAACAAGTTTAGATTGAGTAATTTTAAAAAGCTGAAACTCTGCAGAAAATAAGCTACAATAAAGAAAAGACTTCACATAGACTTAAAAAAAAACATGTGCTATACAGTCTTTTATTTCTAGTTTAAAAACAAAATCTTAAATTACTAGGAGTATATTTACAGGATTAATTACATTTTAAGCCAGCACACCATGGAAGTACATGAAGGGCCACTCAGTGTCCTTCACTGGGACAGGCTGGGACAGGTTGTGTGACCTGCCCGAGGGGCTCCGGCTCATTTGCTGAAGTTGAGAAGACGACCACGTCTTCTGACTGCTCAGCCCAAACAATGAAAAAAGTATCAGAGATGTGTCATATCCATTTTGCTAACAAGCAATTACATGACTTTTTAGTGTTTAAGAGAAGCCTTAATTTTCCTGGGATATCTCCATAGAATCATTCTAAAAACTTGTTTCATTTTGAAAATTCTTCAAGAAAAAAAAAAAAAAGCTTGTCACCCCCATGAGACCCACTGTCTCTCACAAGGCAGGGACAGGCCTTTTAGAGGCAGGAAAAGGGAATACTGGTCTCTGGGAAGTCCAGACAGAACTCCAGCAGCTCCACTGGTTCGACGATCTCTTCCAGGGGGCCAGTGGGCTAGACCCATGCTTTGGTTCAAAGTGTTTGGAGAACATCTTCTTGCTCCTTTTCTGGAAAGGAAATGATGGACACAGAGTCCCAGACATCATCCTTTGGTGAGCTGTCCTTGTCCAAGACCTCTAAGATGGGCTGGGTTGGGTCCTTTAAATACTTGGGGAGATTGGAAAACAAAATTGTAATGAGTTTACCAGTTCAATACACCAGACCTCTGAACTTTAGTTTTTTTTGTTGTGCTTTTAAAATTGTTTTGTTTGAGACGGAGTCTCACTCTGTCACCTAGGCTAGAGTGCAGTGGTGTGATGTCGGCTCACTGCAACCTCCGCCTCCTGGGTTCAAGTGATTCTCCTGCCTCAGCCTCCTGAGCAGCTGGGACTACAGGCGCGCGCCACCACGCCTGGCTAATTTTTTGTATTTTTAGTAGAGACGGGGTCTCACCATGTTGGCCAGGCTGGTCTCAAACTCCTCACTGCAAATGACCCAGCCACCTTGGCCTCCCAAAGTACTGGGATTGTAAGTGTGAGCAGCTGCACCTGGCCTACTTTAGTTTTAATTGGTATAGTTGTTATTTTATTAAGGTATAAGTTGATTCTGTCCACCAATGACATAACTTCTTTTTCTTTTTTTTCAACAATGAAACAATTTTTTTTTCTTTTTTTTTTTGAGTCAGAGTATCTCTTTCACCCAGGCTGGAGTGCAGTGGCGCGATCTCAGCTCACTGCAACTTCTGCCTCCCAGGTTCAAGCAGTCTCCTGCCTCAGCCTCCCAAGTAGCTAGGATTGCAGGCATGCACCACTACGGCCAGCTAATTTTTTTTTTTTTTTTTTTTTTTGAGATGGAGTCTTGCTCTGTCGCCAGGCTGGAGTGCAGTGGTGTGATCTCGGCTCACTGCAACCTCCGAATCCCTGGTTGAAGCGATTCTCCTGCCTCCGCCTCCCGAGTAGCTGGGACTACAGGTGCACGCCTGGGTAAGTTTTGTATTTTTAGTAGAGACAGGGTTTCACCATGTTGGCCCGGTGACCTCGTGATCCACGCGCGTCGGCCTCCCAAAGTGCTGGGATTACAGGCATGAGCCACTGCGCCCGGCCAACAACTTCTAATAGTTGAATACTCCTTACCCCTCATCTCAGTAATAACTTTAATACCCATCCCAGGGCTGATCATGTTAATATGCTGAGAGTGTAAAAGGGCAAAACTCAGGAAGAGCAAGTTTCGTTTTTTGGGTTTTTTTGTCTGATTTTCTGATTGGAAGAAAAGCAAGTTCTTCCTTGCAACCCTCAGTGCAGGCCTGTGGGTTATTAATCTTAAAACATCTCAAATGATAACCTTTCAGCGAAGGAGGGACTGGGGGCTCTTGTTCAGCTGTGATGGGGAAAAAGAGGGCAAGTTCGTAAGCATTGGTCTCAGGCACTCCTCCACCCCTCCCCTCACAACAGCGCGCAGCGCGCAGCAAGCAGAGAATCTGGGAGGGAGGGCCTTAGGCCTTAACATATAAAGGGGTGTTTCCCAGCAATTAATTTCCCTTTTGCTCCCACAGGCTTTAGGCTTAGCCACAGATTCACCAAGTTACCAAGAACCTAGTATGTAGCTCTTGGAAATGCTGAAAGATACTGAAAGACAATAAGCTTGTAGCTGACTGATGGAAAGAGGAACAAAACCAAAACACGTACCCTTGTGAGACCCCAGAATTATAAGTGAAACATGATTCACTGTTGTCATGTAACTCAGAGACCTTTGGTGGATGTTCTTCACGCTTTCCTAGGAAAGTGGACCGACAGGCCTGTGTTTTCTGTTCATTTCTCAGAGGAATGACTCATAGTAAATTCATGTACTAGGGCTCAGCTGGCCGTTCTACCAGGCGAGAGAGATCATGACTGCAAGAAAGATTCTGAGACCTGTTAGGAGCTATGATTTTGTGACAGTATTAACCAGGGAGGTTCTAGTAGGGAATTTGTATATGGCCTATGTACCTAAAATACATCATGACAGATGAAGGAACAAGTGACTAGGGTTCTCTCTGAAAGTGCCGCTGTGTTTCTGTAGACTTGGACCTTATCTAACATCTGTTCACCCTCATGTAACTGAGTAACATTCTGTTTCCAACACCTTTACTCTGGGTTTACCCAAGAATAATGTGAAGCCTCCAGAAGCAAATGCTTTTTATTTAATATATTTTTATTTTTTGAGATGAAGTTTTGCTCTGTCACCCAGGCTAAAGTGCTGTGGTGTGATCTTGGCTCACTGTAACTTCCACCTCCTGGTTCAAGTGATTCTCCTGCCTCAGCCTCCTGAGTAGCTGGGATTATAGGCACCCACCATCATGCCTGGCTAATTTTTGTATTTTTGGTAGAGACAGGGTTTCACCATGTTGGCCAGGCTGGTCTCCAGCTCCTGACCTCAGGTGATCCTCCTGTCTTGGCCTCCCAAAGTGCTGGGATTACAGGTGTGGTTCACTACGCCTGGCTGCAAATGCTTTTTAAATGTTCTTTTTTCAGCTCGCCTCTCATATCCAAAATGTCCTGACCATGTCCCTCAGAAGGCCCAGTGGTCTCACAGAGCCTCAGGGGGCTGGGGCTATGCAGGAAAAATAAGACTTTCCACAAGACGCACACTGCTGTTCTTTCTCAAGTCCTTCCAAACACTAGCCAATACTCACTGGGCAGTGGCGCATAGGGCCTGGCACTCACAGCTCTGGGGGTTGACTCTGCCTTAGGGCCCTCCTAAGCACCCTGTGGGCCCCAAAGCTCAAGCTCCTGATCACCCTCTCCACCGCCTTCACATCCTCCAGCCAGGCCACTTCCCTGGCGCATTCTCCAGAGAGCAGAGGAGATCTGCCTGAGAGGGGCCTACTGCCACCTTTTTAGCCAATCCCATGCCATTAAAAAAAAATTAAATTGTGGTAAAATGCACATAACATAAAATGTACCATTATAACTCTTTTTAGGTGTACAGTTCGGTAGTGCCAAGCACATTCACATTGTGCAATCATGACCACCATCCATCTCGAGAACTCTCTACAGCTCCAGAACTGAAACTCTGGCCCCACTCAACACGAACTTCCCGCTTTCCTCCCTCCACTATCGCAACCACCATTCTACTTCCCGTCTTTATGGATTTGATGACTCTGGGGACCTCATTTAAGTGGAAGCATACGGTATCCTTTCGTGACTGTCCTACTCCACTCGGCATAATGTCCTCAAGGTCCATCCACGTGGTGGCATGTGTCACAATCCCCTTCCTTTCTAATGCTGAATGACATTCCATCGTATGGAAAGACCATCCATTGGTTTATCTATTCATCCTTCAACGACACCAGAGTGCTTCCACCTTTTGGCTGCTGTGAATCGAGTCAATATGAACATGGGGTATAAATAACCCCATACAATTTTTAACACAAATCTCTGTGTCCACGGCTTTGCCCACTGCTGCACTCTTAGGGGTTGCCGGGGCAGTGGGGCCCTGTTGTGTCACCATTAAGATGTCTGCGTGGCCAGGCGCAGTGGCTCACGCCTGTAATCCCAGCACTTTGGGAGGCTGAGGTGGGCGGATCACTTGAGGTCAGGAGTTCGAGACCAGTCTGGCCAACACAGCAAAACTCCATCTCTACCAAAAATACAAAAATTAGCAGGCCATGGTGGTGAGCACTTGTAATACCAGCTACTCAGGAGGCTGAGGTGGCAGAATCGCTTGAACCTGGGAGACGGAGGCTGCAGTGAGCAGAGATTATACCACAACAGTCCAGCCTGCAACAGAGCAAGACCCTATCTCAAAAAAAAAAAAAAAAAAAAAAGCAATGTGCACACATACCTCTTCTATCTGTAACGGAATGCTTGGTGGAGTGTGAAACCAGTATTTAATCAGGCCTCTGTATTTCAGGACCAGGAAGAAACAGGCCCCTGCCAGCACCGACAGCAACGAAAATGTTCCCACGGAGATCAGGATGACTTGCTGAAGCTCGGTGGAGGCTAAAAAAAAGGACACGAAAGTGAACAGAATGATCTTCCTACACACAACACAAACATCAGTTAATGTTCCATCCATGCTGCTTAAAAAGCATTCCTGGCCTAGTAGAATGGGCAGGTGCCCCTATCCCCACCCTCACCCAGTACGCTTACGTTAATAGCTGAAGTCAATCCTATAATGAAATAAAGCCAGCGGTAGCTGTCCGGCAGCCTCCGCGACTGCAGATCCCAGCACAAGCTCATTACACCTGCAGTTCAGCACTCTCTTCTCACTGGCTCTCCCCACTCCCACCACCCATGACCTCATAGGTGGTCCCCGATTTCACTATTGGAGGAGTATTCTTTCCCAGTTCAGAAAGGACATAAGAAGGTATATTTTACCATCTGCCATCGTTTCGTAGCAAGATGTGTTGCTTAAATGCCCCAGTCTAAAGATGTTACTTTTGTTCCAAAGCAGTTGTGCCTGGACTTGTAAACAGTACACTCTGAAGGGTTTTAAGTTATCCAATGAAATGGAGTTGCTTCTGAAAGGGCCTTTGACCTGTTTTAAAAACACCACAAGCACACATGTAAATCCCTTGAATGAACACGGCCAAGCTGCCTCCATCTTTTCTGATGTTTCCTCAAATTCACTGTGAACACGACAACCAAAGGAGAAGAAGATGCCATTTTTAGCGGGTCACTGGCGGGCAGTGGACACATTGTATGTGTGAAAACTGGTGTGTTGTGTGGTCAAAGAGGCTGATAGCTTTAGAACTGTTTCTGGCTGTGTGGTCTCAGAGTGCCCATTGTAATAACTAGACTTCAGCAAATCCCAATTTCTAGGATAACCTTTTTCTCCTCTAAAATTAGCATTTTGAGCTGGATGGGGTGGCTCACGCCTGTAATCCCACCACTTTGGGAGGCCAAGGTGGGCAGATCACCTGAGGTCAGGAGTTGGAGACCAGCCTGGCAAACATCTCAAAACCCTGTCTCCACTAAAAGTACCAAAATTAGCTGGATGTGGTGGCGCACACCTGTAATCCCAGCTGCATGGGAGGCTGACGGAGGAGAATCACTTGGACCAGGAGGCGGAGGCTGCAGTGAGCCAAGATTGTGCCACTGCACTCCAGCCTGGGTGACAGAGCAAGACTGCATCTCAAAACAAACAAACTAATATTTTGTATTTCTTTCTTTCTTCTTCTTTTTTTTTTTTTTTTGAGATGGAGTTTCGCTCTGTCACCAGGCTGGATTGCAGTGGTGCAACCTCAGCTCACTGCAACCTCCGCTTCCCAGGTTCAAGCAATTCTCCTGCCTCCAACTCCTGAGTTGCTGGGATTATAGGTGCCCACCACCACGTCCAGCTCATTTTTGTATTTTTAGTAGAGACAGGGTTTCCCCATGTTGCCCAGGCTGGTCTTGAGCTCCTGACCTCAGGTGATCCACCTGCCTCGGCCTCCCAAAGTGCTGGGATTACAGCCGTGAGCCACCACGCCCAGCCAACATTTTGTATCTCATAGTTAATCTAGATACCTCAAGTTAGTCAACAGAGAAAAAATTATTCTAGGAAATAATGTTCCTTTCATTCCCAACCTGCTTCTAGTTTGACCAAAATGTGCTTGATCCTCCTATAGTTTCAGCTAAAATGACCTTAGAGATTTATGACATCAGGAGACAACTGGACCCCAGACTCCAGGAGGGTTCTGTGTCTCCTCCCTGCATCCCCCTGTTGCCTCGAGCAGACCTTGCTGCCTCCCCACCTGGTCCTCCAGGCAATGGCTCCTCACTCTTGTCCTGGCAAGGTTGTCACTGTCCCACACCGAAGTGGAAAACAGCGATACCCTACTATGGCAGTACAGGGTTTCTTGCAAAGAACTGTTTTCTAATTTTGAGATACAATATAATCCACTGCAGTCACATGAAATGACGGCATAACATATGCTTGAAAACATGGGAAGACAAGGCTGCTAAACTGTTAACTGAAAAAAGGCAGATTATCCAAGTACAGAACATGTTATTATTTTTTAAAATAGAAAAATAGGCCAGGCGTGGTGGCTCATGCCTGTAATTCCAGCACTTCGGGAGGCTGAGGTGGGACAATCACTTGAGTTTGAGCTTGGGTAACATAGTGAGACCCCCTCCCCGCGTCTCTATGGAAAAAAATAAATAAATAAGCTGGTCATGGTGGTGCATGCCTATAGTCCCAGCTGCTTGGGAGGCCAAAGTGGGAGGACAGCTTGAGCCTGGGAATTGGAGGCTACAGTGAGCTCTGATTGCACCACTGCACTCCAGCCTGGGTGAGAGAGTGGAATTGTCTCTGAAAAATTAAAGTTAAAAAATAAAAATACAAACATAATTGTATTATCTATGAATTGCAGTATTATTTGATGGTTTTACATTATCTTTTCTTCTGTTTAGTGGTGGTGACTGCCAGGGCAGAGGAAGACGCGATTTTAAGGATGAAAATTCCCTTTGGGTTTATTTCAGCATTCAATTGGAATTCCTAAAATTCAGAATCACAGACTGCAGAAGAGCTAATGTAACAGGCCTAACACTAATGGCCTTTGAAGGGCCTGATTTCAAGGTCGACCCTTGGCTGACATCTGGGAGTGTGTGTGTGTGTGTGTGTGTGTGTGTGTGTGTGTGTGTGTTTGAGACGGAGTCTTGCTCCATTGCCCAGGCTGGAGTGCAGTGGTGCGATCTCAACTCGCTGCAACCTCCACCTCCCAGGTTCAAGCGATTCTCCTGCTTCAGCCTCCCAAGTAACTGGGATCACAGGGGCCCGCCACAACGCCTGGCTAATTTTTGTATTTTTAGTAGAGATGGGTTTTCACCATGCTGGCCAGGCCTGTCTCGAACCCCTGACCCCAAGTGATCCGCCTGCCTCGGCCTCCCACAGTGCTGGGGTTTCAGGCGTGAGCCACGGCGCCCAGCCTGGGAATTTGGATTTCAGGTTTATGCCTCCCATTCCCAAACTGGTAAGGTGACTTTACTGTCCCTACACTGTTTGCAGTGTGTGTTCTTTATGAGGAGCATCTGCTTTCCTTCTGGGAGTTGGAATTTTGGCATACGCTAGACAGAAGGTGCGTATGTGGCTAGCGCCAGTAAAAACCCTGGGCGCTGGGTCTCTCACAAGCCTCCCTGGCAGACAGCAGTTCACGCGTGCAGTCACAGCTTGCTGGTGGAGGAATGAAGTGTGTCCTGCGTGACTCCGCTCGGGGAGGGCTCCCAGAAGCCCACCCCTGGACACCCGTGGACTTTCCTTCATGTGCCTCTTCCCTTTGCCGATTTTGCTTTGCATCCTTTTGCTGTAAAAAATCAGAGTGTGGGCCAGGCACAGATGGGGAGGCTGAGACAGAAGAATCTCTTGAACCCATGAGCCGAGACTGTGGCACTGCACTCCACCCTGGGCGACACAGTGAAACTCTGTCTCAGAACAAAACAAAACAAAAGAAATGAGAGCGTGGCTGTGCTGGGCCCTGGGAGTCCTTTGAGCGATCTAGGGTGGGAGGTAGCACAGCAACACAGTGCCCTCAAGTGAAGAAACCAACCAAAGCGTGGAGAAAAACGTGGCCAGAGCGCCCACCCCATCTCCTGCATTTCCGGCACCATATCCGGTTGGTGAGGACAGCTTGGAAGAGGCAGAGTCTCTCTCTTCTGGATTCTGCCAGGCTCCTTCTATTCTAATTGACCCAGATCTTGAGCTCTGATTTGGAGAAACGATTTTTCCCTATTTCCTAGATGCTAAATCTGTTTTTCAGTGAGTCTCAACCTTGCCAGTTTCATACTCCCCATAATGAAATGAAGAGGAGGCTGGGAACAGGGGCTCATGCCTGTAACCTCAGCACTTTCGGAGACTGAGGTGGGCAGATTGTTTGAGACCACGAGTTCGAGACCAGCTTGAGCAACATGGCAAAAGCCCATCTCTACAAAAAAAATTTTAAAATGTTAGCCGGGTGTGGTTGGCACAGGCCTGTAATTCCAGCTACTCGGGAAGCTGAAGTGGGTGGATTGCTTGAGCCTGGGAGGTAGAGGTTGCAGTGAGCCAAGATTGTACCACAGTACTCCAGCCTGGGCGACAGTGAGACTGTCTCAAAAAAAGAACAATAGGCCGGGCGCGGTGGCTCACGCCTGTAATCCCAACACTTTGGGAGGCCGAGGTGGGCGGATCACGAGGTCAGGAGATCGAGACCATCCTGGCTAACACGGTGAAACCCCGTCTCTACTAAAAATACAAAAAACTAGCCGGGCGAGGTGGCGGGCGCCTGTAGTCCCAGCTATTCAGGCGGCTGAGGCAGGAGAATGGCGTGAACCTGGGAGGCGGAGCTTGCAGTGAGCCGAGATCGCGCCACTGCAGTCCAGCCTGGGCGACAGAGTGAGACTGTCTCAAAAAAAAAAAGAAAAAGAAAAAAAGAACAATAATTAAAAAAAAAAAAGAGAGAAGCGCAGATACAAAGTGTGTGGCAGAAAAACATGGTGGTCAAGAGCACGGCTCTGAAGCTAGGCATCTCTGCTCTGCTCTGCCAGTGGTTTGCTACTGACCTGAGGCAAGTCACTTAACGACTTGGATTCCCTCTCTGCAAACGGATTAGTATAAAGATGAAATGGGCTAGGCACGGTGGCTCATGCCTGTAATCCCAGCACTTTAGGTGGCCAAGGTGGGCAGATCACCTGAGGTCAGGAGTTCGAGACCAGCCTGACCAATATGGTGAAACCCCATCTCTACTAAAAATACAAAAACTAGCTGGGCATCAAGAATGAAACTCCAGCTAAAAAAAAAAAAAAAAAAGATGAAATGAGATGAAGTATCTAAAATTCTAAAATGCTGGCCCAGAGCCAAACACAAAGGAAGCTCTCAATAAATGTAAGCTCTTATTATCAAAAACCATAATAATGTTGAATTTAGGAAATTATGAAGTTCACATAGATAGCAGAACCTCATTAAACATAGCTGGGATAATTTAGGCACTGGACATGCTTCAAGACCATCATGTTTTTTCCTGTGCTCCCCGAGGCTAACCAGGCCCCTCTGATATCATGCACCTCTGTTAACGTGATCATACCTGCTGCTCTCTGGAAGGCTCTTTCTCCCTTTGTTTCCCCCCGATTCCACATGTGCCCTTTTCACAAACTGTTCAAACATTTATACAGTTAAGCCTTGCAGGCTGTAGTTGTGGATTCCTCATGGAGAACCAGGCCCACTAAAACCTCCTCCAAACTGCAGAGCGTGGCAAAGGTATTGTGAGCAGGGCACTGGCTAAGTCTGGACCCCACACAAGGAAACAGAGTGACATCAAAGGATGGCCAGCCCTTCAGATCGGCCTGGCGGAGGGAGGTCTCAGCACACCGAGTGGAAAAACAGGTCTTGAAGAGGACGATGAAAACAGGCTCAGGGCTCAGTCTCTATGAGGACGCGAGGACATGGGGACACCCTGTTTTTGCCCATGTTAAAGGTTTCTTTCTATTGCTAAGCCAGAAACTGCAAAGAAAAGAAAACCCAAACAAAAAAGGAACATGCTCTTGCCTGCTGGAGTCCTCCTTTTTCCCAGTAACGGACATAATACCAAAAAAAGGCTGTGGAGGCATCAGCGATGTCAAAGGGAGAGGAGAACCTGATGATGAGGGAGCCTTCTCCTGGGGTCACCTCAATGTTTTCTGGAGGCCCGACAGTCACTGAAAAAGAATTACAAAGAGAAAATCATACACATACACATATGTATTATAGATATAATACACTCTATATATGTATAATGCAATACATATATATAGTGGGTGTAGATATCTACACACATATATTTTTATCTATTTATTTATTTATTATTTTTTCGAGACGGAGTCTTGCTCTGTCGCCCAGGCTGGAGTGCAGTCGCGTGATCTCAGCTCACCACAACCTCCACCTCCCGGGCTCAAGCAATTCTCTTGCCTCAGCCTCTCAAGTAGCTGGGATTACAGGCATGTGCCACCATGTCTGGCTAATTTTTATATTTTTAGTAGAGACAGGGTATCTTCATGTTGGCCAGGCTGTTCTCAAACTCCTGACCTCGTGATCTGCCTGCCTCAGCCTGCCAAAGTGCTGAGATTACAGGCGTGAGCCACCGCGCCTGGCCTATTTATTTTATTTTATTTATTTATTTATTTATTTATTTATTTATTTATTTATTTATTTTTGAGATGGAATGTTGCTCATGTCGCCCAGGCTGGAGTGCAGTGGTGCAATCTCGGCTCACTGCAACCTCTGCCTTCCGGGTTCAAGCGATTCTCCTGCCTCAGCCTCTCGTGTAGTTGCAATTACAGGCACACGCCACTACACCCAGATAATTTTTATATTTTTAGTAGAGACGGGGTTTCACCAAGTTGGCCAGGCTGGTTTCAAACTACTGACCTCAGGTGATCCGCCCGCCTTGGCCTCCCAAAGTGCTGGGATTACAGGCGTGAGCCACTGAGCCCAGCCATATTTCTATTTATACATGCAGTGGAGCTGACTTTGGATGCACAAGTCTACAAGAGGCGGCTCCAGGTGTGAGGCTGACTTGAAGGCAGCACCTGGAGTGTGAGCCACCACACCCATGCTCCAGGTAGAAGGAGAGGCCTTGAGGCAGTCCACAGTGTGGCCCAGAGCAAGTCCCTCTGGCTACTCAGGGGGCAGCGCCGATGCCAGAAGGTGAGATTCCACCAGGCAGGTGCAAAAGCCTCCCTGAATGAAAGGCCGCCAGAGCCAGTGTCTCTTACAATAATTCCCTAGGAGTTGTTTCCAGGGCCCCCACAAAGGACACGCCTAATTGCAAGAATCACTGTGCCCAGCAGATCGCAGAGATGTGGCTTTCTGCCAGGTATTTAGGATTGTCACAGCTGAGATGCAGTTTACCAATCAGGGGCCATGTGACCATAAGTAGTGCCACTTAGTAACACGGTTGACATGACACCTTTAGTGTCAGCTTTCCAGAGAAACAAAACTGGAAGGTTAACCAAAGGTCAAATTTTCCTGCGGAGGGGAAATGATTTTGTTAGCCCTTACCTACAATATACATAAAATTCCAATATAACTGAGCAAAACTGGTGTTTATAAACTTTACGTACATTTGTCTCCTAGCTTCTTGTAATACTATGTTTATTTATTAATTAAAATAAATTTTTTTGAGACAGGGTCTTGGTCTGTTGCCCGGGCTGGAGTACAGTAGTGCAATCGTGGCTCACTGCAACCTTGAACTCCCAGGCACCCGAGTGAAGTGATCCAACCACTTCAGCCTCCCAAGTACCTGAGACTATAGGCCCATGCCACCACGCCTAATTTTTTTTTGTTTTTGTTTTTGTAAAGCTGGAGTTTTCCCATGCTGGTCTTGAACTCCTGGGCTCACGTGATCCTTCTGCCTCGACCTCCAAAAGTACTGGGATTCCAGGTGTGAGCCACCACACCCATACTACATTTAAACACGGTAAGTGAGAAGTGTTGCCATGGTAAGTCTGTTTGTTCAGGCTTTTCACATAATTCACCTCATAGTCACCTCAGGCTAGGACGGTGACTCACGATGTGCTATCAGTGAGGGCTATGAAGCATTTATTAAGTAAGCATGCACATTGTATAATTCACCAGAGGAACTCAGATCAAAGTACAGGTTGGGTCCTCGAAATTCTAAGAGACCAATGTCTCCACATTTTACACAAGGAGACAATGCTGTCACTGTGAGTTCACAACAGCGGGGCTGGATTCTCTCCCCTGGGCACTCCAGGTTGGTGAGGGTTAGGTGTATGATCTGGCCAAGCTTCTCTCTGTGCAAAAGAACTACTGAGTTTGTAGCTGTGCCCTCTTATTTGTTCTGGTGGAGGTGCTAAGTCCAGACAACTCCCAGTGGCAGAAGCAGGGTCAGGTCTGGCCCACCAACAGCCACAGTGATGTTCGTGGATTGACTGCTAGTGACAAAATGCTCTTCCATTCAGCCTGCTCAGGGACGCTGGCACACGTTCTCCAGCTTCCCTTGGCCCAGCTAAGTGAGCAGAGCATGCAGAAGCACGTTGCAGAAGCGCCTGCAGGGCCTGGCTGTAGGACATGTTCTTTGGGCATCTCCATTAGCACGTGGGAGTGTGGACACCAGCCACAGCTGGCCACTGTACGGCTGAAAGCACAGGGCTCAGACCTGCCCTTCTGAAGAAAGTCCCGACCTGGAATCTGATATGAACGTGGTAAACCTTGTCTCTAGAGGGGAGAACAATCTGACTCCTCTCACAGCACTGGAGGAAGGCTGGCTCCAGGAACACCGGACGACAATGCGTGGAGCCTCCAGGCAAATGGCCTTTCCACGAAGCCTCTTACAGATCAGTGTCACCACCAAATAAGGGTATCCTGGGCAGGGCGTGGTGGCTCACACCTGTAATCCCAGCACTTTGGGAGGCCAAGGTGGGCGGGTCACTTGAGGTCAGGAGTTTGAGACCAGCCTGGTCAACATGTGGAAATGCCATTTCTACTAAAAATACAAAAGTTAGGCTGTGTGCAGTGGCTCACGCCTGTAATCCCAGCACTTTGGGAGGCCGAGGTGGGCGGATCATGAGGTCAGGAGATCGAGACCATCCTGGCTAACACAGTGAAACCCCATCTCTACTAAAAATACAAAAAATTAGCCAGGAGCAGTGGCGGGCACCTGTAGTCCCAGCTACTCGGAAGGTTGAGGCAGGAGAATGGCATGAACCCGGAAGGCGGAGTTTGCAGTGAGCCAAAATCGCGCCGCTGCACTGCAGCCTGGGCCACAGAGCGAGACTCTGTCTCAAAAAAAAAAAAAAAATTAGCTGGGCATGGTGGTGGGTGCCTATAATCCCAGCTATTCAGGAGGCTGAGGCAGGAGAATCACTCGAACCTGGGAGGCAGAGGTTGCAGTGAGCCAAGATCGTGCCACTGCACTCCAGCCTGGGTGACAAGAGTGAAACTCTGTCTCACAAAAACAAAAACAAAATTAACTGGGGTGTGGTGGCACACGCATGTAATCCCAGCTACTGGGGAGGCTGAGGCACAAGAATCACTTAAACCTGGAGGCGGAGGTTGCAGTGAGCTGAGATTGCTCCACTGCACTCCAGCCTGGGCGACAGAATGAGACTGCCTCAAAAAAACAAAAAACAAAACAAAAAAACAAATAAGGTTATCCCCATTTCTCGGATGAGGAAACAGAAGCCAGGAGGTGACACTATTTGCCCAGAGTAACAGCCAGTAAATGGCAGAGTTGGGATAAGAACCCAGGCGGGGGTGATGCCAATGCCCGCCCCTTCCAACCACCATCTCACTCCTCCACTTGGTAAACCTCCTTCATGTCCATTACTGATTCTAACGCCACCAGCAGAGGTGAAAGTGGCAGGTATGAGGTGAGACCACCACTGTGTCAAGCTTTTGAAGCACGCGGGCAAAGAACAGCAACCCAGCCAGTAACTAACAGAAACATAGGTGCTTGACTCCAGCTGAGAGCGGCAGCTGGCTGGTACCAGACCCAATGTCACTATACACCCTGCTTCTGTTACCTTCTCTTGATCCCTGGGCAGTGGTGGTAACTATCATTCCTCTTTTTTTTTTTTTTTAAATGATGGAGCCTCGCTCTATCACCCAGGCTGGAGTGCAATGGTGTAATCTTGGCTCACTGCAACCTCCACTTCCCAGATTCAAGAGATTCTCCCACCTCAGCCTCCAGGCGTAAGTGATTCTCATGCCTCAGCCTCCCCAGTAGCTGGGATTACAGGCATGCGCCACCATACCCAACTAACTTTTGCATTTTTAGTAGACATGGGGGTTTCACCATGTTGGCCAGGCTGGTCTCGAACTCCTAACCTCAGATGATCTGCCTGCCTCAGCCTCCCAAAGTGCTGGGACTGCAGGGGTGAGCCACTGTGCCCGGCCATCATTACTTCATACTCCTAATTCCCACTTATTTGACACTTTATAGCTCAAATGGGGGGTGGTTCTGTACCCAAGGACAAATGGCTTGTCCACAGCAGACGAGGAACCAGCAGGACTGCCTGGTCTTCTCTGTTTCTATCCCTCACAGCACCTAGCACAAACCACTGATTTTTAAAAAAAAAAACTTAAAAAAAAAATAGAGATGGGGTCTTGCTATGTTCCCTAGGCTCATCTTGAACTCCTGAGCTCAAGCAATCCTCCCATCTCAGCCTCCCAATGGGCTAAGATCACAGGCATGAGCCTCTCTAAAAAAACTTTTTATTGGCCGGGCATGGTGGCTCACACCTGTAATCCCAGCACTTTGGGAGGCCGAGGCAGGTGGATCACGAGGTCAGGAGATCAAGACCATCCTGGCTAACATGGTGAAACCCCGTCTCCACTAAAAATACAAAAAATTAGCCGGGCATGGTGGCGGGCACCTGTAGTCCCAGATACTCGGGAGGCTGAGGCAGGAGAATGGTGTGAACTCAGGAGGTAGAGCTTGTAGTGAGCCGAGATTATGCCACTGCACTCCAGCCTGGGCAACAGAGTGGGACTCTGTCTCAAAACAACAACAACAACAACAACAAAAACAAACAAAAAATTAGCCAGGATTAGCCAGGCATGGTGGCACAGACCTGTAGTCCCAGCTACTTGGGAGGCTGAGGGAGGAGAATCACTTGAACCCGGGAGGTGGAGCTTGCAGTGAGCCGAGATCGTGCCACTGCACTCCAGCCTGGGTGACAGAGCGAGATTCCATCCCAAAACAAAGACAAAAACACAAAAAAACCCAACAACAACAAAAAACTTTTTATTACAGAAAATTTCAAACACATAGAAAGTAGATTGGCCGGGCATGGTGGCTCACGCCTGTAATCCCAGCACTTTGGGAGGCTGAGGCAGGCAGATCATGAGGTCAGGAGATCGAGACCATCCTGGCTAACATGGTGAAAACCTGTCTCTACTAAAAATACAAAAAATTAGCCAGGCATGGTGGCGGGTGCCTGTAGTCCCAGCTACTCGGGAGGCTGAGGCAGGAGAATGGCGTGAACCCGGAAGGCAGAGCTTGCAGTGAGTGGAGATCACGCCACTGTACTCCAGCCTGGGCGACAGAGCAAGACTCCGTCTCAAAAAAAGTAAATAAATAAAATGTAGAGAGAAGATCATAACGAACACTCGTGTACTCATTACCCAACTGAATGAACTGTCAACTTATGACCAATTTTTATTTCTTCTATGCCTAGAAACTTCGTCCTTGCCCCTCCTGCTCTTCGGATTATTTTGATTTCTTTCTTTCTTTTTTTTCTTTTTGAGATGGAGTTTCGCTCTTGTTGCCCAGACTGGAGTGCAATGGTGCGATCTCAGCTCACGGCAACCTCTGCCCCCCAGGTTCAAGCGATTCTCCTGCTTCAGCCTCCCAAGTAGCTGGGATTCAGGTGCCTGCCACCACAGCCAGCTAATTTTTGGTATTTTTAGTAGAGATGGGATTTTACTATGTTGGCCAGGCTGGTCTCACACTCCAAACCTTAGGTGATCCACCTGCCTCGGTCTCCCAAAGTGCTGGGATTACAGGTATTACAGGTGTGAGCCACTGCGCTCAGCCTATTTTGATTTCTTTGAACAAATCTCAGCAATCACATCATTTCATCTGCAAATACTTTAATATGTACCTCTGAAATACAGGAACACTTTTTAAAATTTTTAACTTTGTTTTTTTGAGACTGAGTCTTGCTCTGTTGCTCAGGTTGGAGTGCAGTGATGTGATCTGGGCTCACTGCAACCTCTGCCTCCCGGGTTCAAGTGATTCTCCTGCCTTGGCCTCTCAAGTAGGTGGGATTATAGGCACGCACCACCAAGCCCAGCTAATTTTTGTGTTTTTAGTAGAGACAGGGTTTCACCATGTTGGCCAGGCTGGTCTCGAACTCCTGACCTCAAGTGATCTGCCTGCCTCGGCCTCCCAAAGTGCCAAGATTATAGACGTGAGCCACCGCACCCAGCAGGAACCCTTTTTATTCCCCCAATTTTTTATTTTGGTTAAAATACACATAACATAAACTTTAACATCTTAACCAGAATACCTCCCCCTTTAAAAATCATAACCAAAACACCATTACAACACTGAAAATAAGTCAACGATAATTCTTCATTATATATCAAATATCTAGACGGTGATCATATTTTCTCAATTGTCTTATATATTAGTTTGTCTAAATCACGATCCAAGTAAGTTTCATGCCCTGTGTGTGCATAAGCCAGACACGGAAGAAGCATCTGGCATGGCTGACCACGTGACAAATGAATTACTGGAGCAACAAATGTAGGAACTGGAATCTGAGGGTTCTTCAGTCTCCTTCCAATATCTGCGGACACATTTGTTCACTCAGTCATTCGACAAATATTTACTGAATACCTACTACATGCCAGGCACCATTCAAAGTGCCTATTCTGTAACATAAAAGAAGTTGCACCAGAATAAGTGAGGGTGATCAGATACATATGCTAGCATCCCTTCTAGCATGAGGTTGGCAAACTTTTTCAGCAAAGAGCCGCAGTAAATTCAGACTTTGCAGGCTCAACAGTTGCTATTGCAACTACTCTACCATTGTAGTGTGAAAGCAGCCATAGACACAATAAAAAATGGATGTAACTGTGTGTGCCAATAAAACTTTTTTTTTTTTTTTTTTTTTTTTGAGACGGAGTCTCGCTCTGTCACCCAAGCTGGAGTGCAGTGGCCGGATCTCAGCTCACTGCAAGCTCCGCCGCCCGAGTTTACGCCATTCTCCTGCCTCAGCCTCCCGAGTAGCTGGGACTACAGGCGCCCGCCACCTCGCCCGGCTAGTTTTTTTTTTTGTATTTTTTAGTAGAGTCGGGGTTTCACCGTGTTAGCCAGGATGGTCTTGATCTCCTGACCTCGTGATCCGCCCGTCTCGGCCTCCCAAAGTGCTGGGATTACAGGCTTGAGCCACCGCGCCCGGCCCAATAAAACTTTATTTACAAAAACAAGTGGTGGGCCAGATTTGGCCTGCAGGCTGTAGCTGGCCAACCCCTGGTTTAGCAAATCATACTCTCCTAGCATCGGACTCCAACATCAGAGTGTGGGTTTGACCATGCTATCCCTTTGTCTGCTGGTCATTTAGGATGAGAGGCAGAACAGAGGTGTGTGGAGTCAATACTGCAAGTGAAAAAAACCTGGAAAGTATAAAGGAAGTTCCATACCCACGTTCTCTTACCATTCCGATAGTGTTGAAACCAAGGCATTGTCACCCAGGCAGAATGCAGTGCTCCCAGCTCAGCTCGAAGACGCAGAGTGACATTGAAATCCATTGGGAAGCCTGCTGAGGGGCTGGCGGCAGTGAAGTCACACTCTGTTGCTGTGATCTGTGTACAATTCACCCCTATGGACATGATGTCGGTCATGAACCATTCACTATCGGTGCTGGGAAGGAAAAAAGGATTTCAATTCACAGAATTCCCTCTGCTTTATGTGTAACAGTTTCCCCAGAGCTTTTGTTCAAAACACAGGTTTATTGAGATACAATTTATATATACTCCACAGTTCCCCCCCACCCCTTTTTTTTTTTTTTGAAATGGAGTTTTGCTGTGTCACCCAGTCTGGAGTGCAGTGGTGCGATCTCAGCTCACAGCAACCTCCACCTCCTGGGTTCAAGTGATTCTCGTGCCTCAGTCTCCCGAGTAGCAGGAACTACAGGTGCAAGCCCCACACCCAGCTAATTTTTGTATTTTTAGTAGAGATGGGGTGTCACCATATCGGCCAGGCTGGTCTCCAACTCCTGACCTCAAGTGATCCACCTGCCTTGGCCTCCCAAAGTGCTGGAATTACAGGCATGCACCATCATGCCTGGCTAATTTTTATAGTTTTAGTAGAGACGGGGTTTTACTATGTTGGCCAGGCTGGTCTCAAACTCCTGGCCTCATGTGATCCACCCGCCTTGGCCTCCCAAAGTGCTGAGATTATAAACATGAGCCACTGTGCCCAGTCGCTACTTTTATTTTTAATTTTTTTGTAGAGCTGGGGTCTCTCCATGTTGCCCAGGCTGGTCTTGAGCTCCTAGACTCAAGTAATCCTCCCTCCTTGGCCTCCCAAAGTTCTGGGATTACAGGCGTGATCCACGGTGCCCAGCTGTGGTTTTTAATTGGGTTATTTGTCTTTTAATTGTTGAATTGTAAGAGTTCGTTATCTATTCTGGATACAATTCCCTTGTCAGATATATGATTTGCAAGTATTTTCTCCCATTCCATCCCATAACTGATTTTAATTCTTCAAACTCAGTCTCTGTAGCCTATGTTTTGGGCATGGACCTGCATTAATACAAACTCCAGTCCTGCTTCCTGCTGGTGTGGAGTTTCTTTCCACCCCATAGCTGCCCATTTAAAGAGGATTTGTCTCACCCATATGAAAATCTTGCCAAATACATGGCCACACATCCTTGTGAATGACAGTGCCTTTCCCAGAGTTCCAATGCCACAGCCCCACACGGGACTCTAGTCCCCAGCTCTGACCTCTTTACCTTAGGTGACAGTCTTCAGAAAGGCCAAGGAGGTGGCTGCTGGGAGCCTGAGTAGGGGCTGTGGATAGTGTCCCTTCTAGGACAGCAACTATGGCCCAGAAAGCAAGGTCATGGGAGACAGGAGACGAGACTGGAGACCACTCCGTATCCCCACGGCCACCAGCTTTCACGTATCACACATGCTTCTAACTGTACCCCCAACCCTCTCCGAAATGCATCTTCCGTTTAAGTGGCAAGGGACAAGATGAAAGCCACTTCAAGATGCATGGCCAGGGCTTCCATGAAGACACTCGCAATAGATACCTACTACCCAGCTCCAGGGTGACAGACCCTAATGGGGAGAGGGATCACAAACCATGAGCCTCACCTCCCAGGCAGGGGGTGAGGGGCGTGCCCTGGAAGAGGTGAGTGATTTCTTTTTGAAGGTAGACAGATACTTAAAGACCCTCTAACCACCCCACTCCTCCTCCTCCAAGAGCAACATGCACGGCTCTTCCTCCAATGTGGTGCGGGGCCTGCTCCTCCACACCCCTGCCACTGCCGAGGCTCAGCCTATCTCTGGGACTCAAGAGCTATGTCCAGCCTTTGTGAGGTCACTCACAAAAATGTTAAATAAGTCCATCCCCTTTGGCCCAGCAACCTCTCTTCTAGAAGTGTAAGAAAATAACCAGATATGATTCATGTTCGAGGACGTGACTTAGGACAGGCACCAACTGCCAACTGTCTACACCCATGAGTGGGGAAAAGTTAAATACAGCACATGTGATATGTCACATAATGAAACATACAATGTCCACACAGTAATAATTACATGAAAAAATGCTCACATTGAACTATGGCAAATTAAAATAAAAAAAGGAAAGAGACCCCAAAAGTGTGACCCCAGTTTGGTTTACACACACGCGCACACACACACATTTTCAAACAAGAGAATGAATTCAGAAAAAAAGTCTAAAATGAGAATCGTGGCTGGGTGCAGTGGCTCACACCTCTAATCCCAGCACTTTGGGAGGCCGAGGTGGGCAGATCACTTCAGGTCAGGAGTTCAAAAACAGCCTGGCTAACATAGTGAAACCACATCTCTACTAAACACACAAAAAAAATTAGCCAGGCATGGTGACGGACGCCTGTAATCCCAGCTACTCGGGAGGCTGAGGCAGGAGAATCACTTAAACCCAGGGGGCGGAGGTTTCAGTGAGCTGAGATTGCGCCACTGCACTCCAGCTTGGGCAATAGAGTAAGACTCTGTCTTAAATAAATAAATAAATAAATAAATAAGATAAAATAAAAAGTAAAAATGAGAACAGTGATTATTCTTAGAGTGTAGAACAACAGGTTACTTTAATTTTATTTTTTTCTACTTTTCTAGATTGTCCAGATTTTCTATAAAGCACACGGATTGCTACTAAAATCAGAAGAAAATGAAAAACAAATGTTTGAGAAGACAGGGCTGGGCAGGTCTGAGAGAGAGGCTGGCAGTAGACCAGGAGGCGTGACCTGGGAAGGGCCTTGCTGCCCGACCGTCTGCATTTTCAAGGAAAACTAAAACCAGGATTGGTTTTTTTTTTTTCCTGTTATGTATTTTTTTTTTTCTAAGTGAAAAAATCCAGATTTCATAACGCTGTCAACTAATTGAAGACAAAAAAATTAAACACTGGGAGCCAAATAGCCTGCAGCCACTGTCTGCTACCCATGATTTAGACTTGAGATTCTCCCACAAAGTGCTCCATGTAATTTCGGTCTTGCTACTCCGACTGTCAAAACACAAAGGCATCTTCATTTCTAATCATAGCAATGCTTTATTGTAGAGAAACAGGGTGGAAGTTTAAGTTTCACAAGCCTCAAAACTAATAAAAAGTCCCAAACACATGTTTGTATCTAAAACAAAGTATCTGAAAACAAATGCAAAGGTCCTCTTCCATTATCAAATCTACAAACTGAAAAAGAAAAAGAAATCATCCTCAATTTCACCTTCTTCTAACAGGAACATTCACATGTATCCTAACCTATGTTTCTTTTACTAAACCAACCTCTACCCAGGCGCCGTGGCTCATGCCTGTAATCCCAGCACTTTGGGAGGCTAGGCGGGCAGATCACCTGAGGTCAGGAGTTCAAGACCAGCCTGGCCAACATGGTGAAACTCTGTCTCTACTAAAAATGTAAAAATCAGCCGGGCGTGGTGGCGGGTGCCTGTAATCTCAGCTACCCGGGAGTCTGAGGCAGGAGAATCGTTTGAACCCAGGAGGTGGAGGTTGCAGTGAGCCAGAGGTGCAGTGAGCCAAAAGTTGCAGTGAGCTGAGATCACGCCACTGCACTCCAGCCTGGATGACAGAGACTCTGTCTCTAAATAAATAAATTAATTAATTAAAAAAAAATAAGAAATAAAATAAAACCAAACTTTCTCCCTGAGAAAATATCTACAAAATGCTTTTTGAAAAGAAGATAAAGTGAAACAGGTTAGTTTATCATATGAAACGCTATCAAAGGTTTTTTTTTTTTTTTTTTTTAAATGCAGTAACGTTTTCTTCTATTTTTAGAAGCATCTCCTCTGAAAACCAGCAAACATACTTCCCTGTTCAAGGCCAAGCAATGCTAAGCCCATCAATCAGCTGTCAAGGCTAAGTCAATACATCGGCTGTGACTCTCCCAAGTTTCTTGTTTAGCCCTAGGGTATTATGTTTGCTGAATGCTGACATGACATGTGACCTGTGCGCTCACATCAAGCCCCGTTCTCAGAAAGGCACTTCATTTGATGCTCTGCAGTAGCTAACTTGAAATTCTTAATGCTCTTTAAATAGGGGTCTCACATTTTCATTTTGCACTGGGTTTTGCAAATTGTGTAGCCTGTTCTGGTGGATTGCTCCATTAATTACAGGTGACTTAATGTTGGTTATTTATAACTACTGGAAGAACAGATAAATGTGATTTAGAGATAACTCTCAAACCTCACTTTAGCACCTGTTTCTATTAAGCAAATACTGTTATAACAGACATTTAAAAACAAATAAGAAAGGCCAATGTGATGGCTCATTCCTGTAATCCCAGCACTTTGGGAGGTTGAGGTGGGTAGATCACTTGAGCCCAGGAGTTCGAGGCCAGCCTGGGCAACATGACGAAACTCCATCTCTTCAAAAAATTAAAAATTAGCTGGGTACAGTGGCGTGCGCCCATAGTCCCAGCTACTCGGCAGGCTGAAGTGGGAGGATCTCTTGAGCTCAGGAAGTTGAGGCTGCATTGAGCCATGATCATGCCACTGCACTCCAGCCTGGGGGACAGAATGAGACCTCATCTCAAAAAAAAAAAAAAAAAAAGAATAAGAAGTTATCTGAACTGGGTGGGGTGGCGCACGCACACTTGTAATCCCAGCCACACAGAAGGCTGAGGTATGAGAATTGCTTGAACCTGGGAGGTGAAGGTTGTAGTCAGCCAAGACCGTGCCGCTGCACTACAGCCTGGGCAACAGAGACTTTGTCTCAAAAACAACTGGAAACCTACTCTTCTAACAAATCAATTGCCTGTCATTTTTCCACATTACTTTTCTCTTCTTTTTTCTTTTTTTTTTTTTTTTTGAGACAGAGTCTCGCTCTGTTGCCCAGCCTGGAGTGCAGTGGCGCGATCTCAGTTCACTGCAAGCTCCGCCTCCCGGGTTTACGCCATTCTCCTGCCTCAGCCTCCCAAGTAGCTGGGACTACAGGCACCCGCCACCACACCCAGCTAATTTTTTGTATTTTTAGTAGAGACAGGGTTTCACCGTGTTAGTCAGGATGGTCTCGATCTCCTGACCTCATGATCCGCCCGTCTCGGCCTCCCAAAGTGTTGGGATTATAGGCGTGAGCCACTGCGCCTGACCTACTTTTCTATTCTTTTACAGGTGTAAGCCACCGTGATCGACCCCTTTCTATTCTTGACAATAAATACACATCACTTGCAACTTTTCAGTATAAAGTAAATAAAAAAAATTTTTTTAAGTAACAAAAATAAGAAATAACAAATACAAATACATGCCAAAGTTTACGGAGTTGCAATTTCTGACAGATGACATCTAATTATCCTTTCTAGTGGCTGTCTGTGGTTTAGTGTTCAAGCGTAAGTTAGCAGGCTACAATTTGTCACTTTCCTACTGATGGATATGAATATACACTTCCATGTATCTCTTCATGATTATAGTTTTTGTCTCTCTTTTTTTTGATGGGGGTTGAATTATCTGTGTAGGATAAAACTACTATGAAGGCTGGGCATGGTGGCTCACACCTGCAATCCCAGCACTTTGGGAGGCCCAGGCGGGCAGATCACTTGAGGCCAGGAATTTGAGATAAGCCTGGCCAACATGGCAAAACCCCATCTCTACTAAAAACATACGTATTAGCCAGCCGTGGTAGCTCATGCCTGTAGTCTCAGCTACTCAGGAGGCATGAGAATCACTGGAACCCAGGAGGCGGAAGTTGCAGTGAGCTGGGATCATGCCATTGCACTCCAGTCTGGGCGATAGAGGGAAACTCTGTTTCAAAACAACAGACAGACAGACACACACACACACACACACACACACACATTGGAAAACTACTATGGACATTTCCACGACTTCAAATGTCTGGTAGAATTACTCTCTGAAGGGGCTATGCTAATTGATACTGCAAACAGCATCAGGTGAACACATATGAACCAATCCCATCTCCCAGGCACTGGACATCATCATGTCTTTACATTTGGTTTACCGAATAGTACAAAATGGCTTAGCCAAAAACTTCCCCTTACTCTTCAATTAATCTACTTAACAATGTAAACAAAAAATAACATAGGATGTGGACTTTGCCCTCTTTCTATATGTATTTATATTGCAAATCAAGTGATGGCCAATTCTGCAAAAGCTTGAAGAGGCAAGAGACAGATGAAGGAGCCAGGATAATACACAAAATGGAAAACCACTTGAGAAACTGAGAATTCATTGTAATTAACAAAACAAATTTCTGATCAGGCCATATTTGGTCTATAAGGTTAAATCAATATGATTTTTAAGCCCGAAGATGAAGACTGAAAGCTGCCTCCTGCTCTTCCATGGTGGAAGCCTACTTTTACAACCCTTCTCCCGAAACCAGCGAAAGAATAAACTTTCCACCAAAGCAAGAACCTGTGTGGTTAGACAGCAGAATCCTGACCGCCAGTGTCGTTTAAGCCTTCAGACGAGTGGGAGGTTGTGAAACCTCTGTCCTCAGAGATTTTACAAGCTCCAAGAAAGATGTGCTTCCCACGGGTTTGATAACAAACCCTGCAAAGAGGCAGGAACTAGTATGTGGCCCTAGGGTTCCCCACGACGCCCCCACAACTCCCAGCAAGGATCCAACAGAAATACCGGCTTACTATTTAAACTGCACTCGGTAGACAACAGGCCTTGTGCTATTGCTCAGGGCCACCGGCTCCCAACTCAGGACCTGCTCTGCGTTGTACAGGCGAATCTTCGGGTGCTGAGGCGTGGGCAGCTGGGAAAGAGGGTCTTTAAGGGGACAGAGAAAAAGAAGAGGGGGGAGGAGAGGAGAGAGAGGGAAATAATTACAAAAATGTTTCAATGCACATTACCTAAGTCATTCATAAACTCAGTTTTTGTCAGAGTGCAGAAATGGCATTACCAGGTCCCCCTGGGCATGGTCCCAAGCCTCCGACTTTTGGCTACAAAGATGGCCCTACTGGTACAAGCAGCGCAAAAAGAAAAGAGGCGCCTGGGGCAACCTTTCCACCTGTGGGTCCCAGTTGTTACGAACAGGTCCTGGACCCTGGAGTCTGGCCGGACTGGGGTCCCAGTTCTACTATTAGTAAATGCATTGGGCTCGGGACAGGTCACTTCACCTGTCTCAGCTTGAGTTTCTTTTTCAGGAATAAGGGGTCAATAATGATACACCCAGAGGGCGGTGGGGAAGATTAAAGTGGTGGTCATGTGACACGCATTAGCTTCAGATTTAGTACCAACGGAGTGTCTGGCAAATGTGCACAAATACGTGCACACATGCACGCACTACACACGCACAAACACCCTAAATCAGGTACGCAAAGCCCAAGCTGCAGGGGAGGGCAAGGAACGCCGATTTCTGGCCACCATCAGAGTTGCTGTGTTTCTCAAGGACCCCCAGCATCACAATCATTGGGGTGCTGCGCTGGTTAAAATGCAGGTCCCCAGGCCCCACCCCAGGCCAGGAAATCTGCATTTTAAACAAGCTTTCCAGCTACTTCTCATGCACATGAAAGTTAGAGGACAATATGGCAGAGCATGGTGGCTCACACCTGTAATCCCAGCACTGTGGGAGGCCGAGGAAGGCAGATCACTTGAGGTCAGGAGTTCGAGACCAGTGTGGTTAACATGGCAAAACCCTGTCTCTACTAAAAATATAAAAGTTAGCCAGGTGCGGTGGTGAGTGCCTGTACTCCCAGCTACTCAGGAGGCTGAGGCAGGAGAATCGCTTGAACCCAGGAGGCAGAGGTTGCAGGGAGCCGAGATCACGCCACTGCACTCCAGGCTGGGCGACACAGTGAGACTCCGTCTCAAAAAAAAAAAAAAAAAAAAAGGTTAGGGGACAATAAACAGAGAAAGAATATACTCCCCTGGAAACACCACCAATTTCAGAATCCCCCTCTTTGGGGTGACCTAGAAGAAACAAGCCCAACCTCTCCCTTCCCCAGGCAGGTGCTCCACAGGGAGCCTTTTGTCTTAGAAAGAAAACATGATCAGGATAAGACTTTTGACCAAAAAGATTAATAAGAAACACCCAGAAGGTGGACGAAAGGTTTGAAAAACATGCTGTTTCAAAATCCAAAGGAGGAAATTCAAGCCACGCATTTTCGGTAAATGCAACCAACCTCAAAGAGACCAGCTGACAGCCTGACCACTGGCTCTTCTTCTGAAAGATGAATTGCCAAGTCCGCGGCCATTTGTTTAGTTATAGGATGCCCTTCCCCTCCACACCTATGAGCTCTGGGTGACCTTCATCCAACCAGCTGACAACACTCCTCCTGACACACAGCAGGCCTCACGACATCCTGGGCCGAAGACAGACAGGTAAAGCTGCCTGGTGAGAGGCAGGCCCAATGGGCGTGCTGTGGCTGCTATGACCTAGGAATCCCCAAAGCCAGCGGGGACTGGATGCTTGCTTCCAGAGAGGGGTTGTGGCAGGTCAGTGCTCCCCACAGTTACACAGACAGTCCTGCATGACAGTCACACAGACAGACCTGAATAGCACCCTAACTACGCAGAGAAATTTCCACAACGGTGCCTTCACAGTAAGCTAATAATTAAGCCCAGGGAAACTGATGCCCAGACATCAAACCCAGAGATGAAACACAGCTCCTACACAGGCTTCTCCCAAAATTGGAGCAAGTCAAGATAACAGAGGCAGCTGTTTGAATAGATTTATTGGAGAGTCTAAGGCAGCTCTCCGGACCAAACTGTAAATGAGGTAAGATAAGATAGAAATAAACACACCTGGCCAGGCACAGTGGCTCACGCCTGTAATCCCAGCACTTTGGGACGTCAGGTGGCGGATCACCTGAGGTCAATTCAAGGCCAGCCTGGTCAACATGGTGAAACCCCGTCTCTACTAAAAATAGAAAAATTAGCCAGGCGTGGTGGCGCACACCTGTAGTCCCAGCTACTTGGGAGGCGGAGGCAGGAGAATCGCTTGAACCCGGGAGGTGGAGGTTGCAGCAAGCGTGCCACTGCACTCCAGCCTGGGCGACAGAGTGGCACTCTGTCTCAAAAATAAATAAATAAACCAACACTCTGGTACCACAGTCCTCGTTAAATAGAATTTAGGAGGCAGGCCTTGAAGGTACCGGGGCTCTCACACCTTGATTAGACTTAGAAAGCACTTTTTTGGCCCTGACTTTCTAGTTGAAACAAAATTAGTTACCCATAGACTTTGGCAAGTGCAATACCGCACATAGGCACATAACCCAAACCTATGCAAGCACGAAGAAAATCAAACACTTTGAGTTGGTCTGGTGGAATTATCTCTGACCTTCCCGTTACAGCAATAAACTCTCTTTTTCCCTAGTTTGTCTGCTTCTTGTTATTGGGCCACTAGAAAACACAGCTGGACCCAGCTCTTTCCGGGAACAGGGTGAGTGCCTGCTTAGGGCTGGGCATTCAAAGAATCTGACAACTTTTATTTCCTGTATTAAGGTTCCTCTTACCGCAGTAACACATTACCACTAACCTAGTGACTCCACACAATCCAGATTTAGCTGGGCGTGGTGGTGCGCACCTATAGTTCCAGCTGCTCAAGGGGCTAAGGTGGGAGGATCACTGGGGCCCAGGAGTTCGAGGCTATAGTGTATGCACTATGATCATGCCTGTGAATAGCCACTGCACTCTAGCCTGGCCAACACAGCGAGACGCCCCCCATCTCTAAAAATAAATAAATAAATAAAAATCAAATCTAAATTTGGCCATTCTTGGTATGTCTCCAAAGTTAGCTGTGCTGAGCATAAATTTTAGATTATAAGTTATGAGTTTTAAAAATACAACATGTAAAAAGTTACTCTAATTGGATGGGCATGGTAGCTCATGCCTGTAATCCTGGCACTTTGGGAGGCTGAGGCAGGCAGATTACCTGAGTTCGGGAGTTCGAGACCAGCCTGGCCAACATGGCAAAACCCCGTCTCTACTAAAAATACAACAATTAGCCAGGCATGGTGGTGCACATCTGCAATTCCAGCTACTTGGGAGGCTGAAGCACAAGAATCATTTGAAACCGGCAGGCGGAGGTTGCAATGAGCTGAGATCACACCACTGCACTCCAGCGTGGGCCACAGAGCAAGACTCCATCTCAAAAAAAAAAAAAAAAAAAAAGATGTTGTTGTAGGCCAGCTGCAGTGGCTCACACCTGTAATCTCAGCACTTTGAGAGGCCGAGGTGGGTGCATCACGAGGTCAGGAGTTCAAGACAAGCCTGGCCAAGATGGTGAAAACCCATCTCTAATAAAAATGCAAAAATTAGCCAGCCATGGTGGTGGGTGCCTGTAGTCCAAGCTACTCGGGAGGCTGAGGCAGAGAATTTACTTGAACCTGGGAGGTGGAGGCTGCAGTGAGCTGAGATCACACCACCGCACTCCAGCTTGGGTGACAGAGAGACTCCGTCTAAAAAAAAAAAAAAAATTATTGTAATTAAGACAATGAACTTGCTGAACCTTCTTGCCTGTTGAGAAACTTCCTGAATAATACATCTGTAATATATCTGTAACTGCTTTTAATAAGCTTAAACTTCCCTGAAGGCAAGGAAATTATTGGTATGTTCTCCCACAAAATGTACCCTACTACCAACAAGAAAAATGAAGCTTATTGAACTGGACTAATGCGTTCATGGTCGAACCCCAAGTCTTACAATACAGTAGAGAACAATTCTTCTTATTCCTGAGAGGAAATTCTTTAAAGAAGGAAATACACGTGCTTATAGAGGGCATTTTCACTCAACTGTGAAAATTTCATTTTCAAAACCTCAGCTTAGGAAAGCAAGGGGCATGTGCGAGAGCAAGAGGAAAAAATAACTACACATTTTCACATATAAGCATGACCTGAGCACTCTCCCTAGGCAGAGTCTCAAATGCCATATCTAATTGAGAAATCAGCCATTTAATCCAACTTCTATAACCACCTGAGTGCATACTGTCTAGTTCTTTACAGAAAAATCTGTCAATTCCTGGCATAGAGGGTAGAGTTCAAACTTGAGTAAGTTGAAAATCCTTCAAGATCTTATCTCAAACAGACTAATCATCACCACTCCCTAAAATACCATACACTCTCTCCTATTTTATTTTGGACCTACATAATTTTGCATATTTTATTTCTTCTTCTTTTTTTCTTTTGAGATGGAGTCTCGCTCTGTCCCCCAGGCTGGAGTGCAGTGTTGCAGTGGCATCATCTCGGCTCACTACAACCTCAGCCTCCCGGGTTCAAGAGGTTCCCCTGCCTTGGCCTCCCAAAGTGCTGGGATTACAGACATGAGCAACTGCACCCAGCCTCTTCTACTTCTTTTTTTTTTCTTTTTTTTTTTTTTTTTTTGAGATAGAGTCTTGCTCGGTCACCCAGGTTAGAGTGCTGTGGCACGATCTCGGCTCACAGTAACCTCCACCTCCTGGGTTCAAGCGATTCTCCTGCCTCAGCCTCCCGAGTAGCTGGGATTACAGGCGCCCGCCACCACGCCCAGTTAATTTTTGTATTTTTAGTAGAGACAGGGTTTCACCATCTTGGCCAGGCTGGTCTCGAACTCCTGACCTTGTGATCCACCTGCCTCGGCCTCCCAAAGTACTGGGATTACAGGTATGAGCCACCACGCCTGGCCTTTTCCTCTTTTCTTTAATCTGAAACTCCATGCTTCAAAACCCAGCTCAGTTTGTTCTTCCTCTATTGGACTTTCCTCAACTCTTCCTGACAAATAGTGTCCTATAACATTTAAAAATATTTCTATTCTAGTACTTTTGAAAAATCATGGCATACAGTACATGTGTA